TTTAGTTATTTATTTTAATGCTCTTGTTAATAAAAAAATAATTTTTGACAAATTTTTTAATATTTTGCAAATTCCTATTTTAATCATTTTTCATTATTTAACAAAATTCATACCTATTTTGGTTATTCAACGAGCTAAACTTACTTATCCTAGCATAATTCAAATAACTTTTCTACTTTACAAACTAATTTTTATAAAAATCAATCTAAACATAAATTACATTACTCAATCTTCTTTTTATCCAATCTGATCTCATTCTTCTAAAAGTCATATTGGATTTACTTTTTTGGTTACCAATCCAAACAAACCTTAACTATGTGAAAAATAATTTTGTGTTCACTTGCATGAAAATACTTTGTTTAAAAGGGATGGTTTGGAAACAACCAGTAAAACTTGTAAGTTTTTTTACTTATAAGTTTCTTTATTATCACTAGATTCTAATAATGTTATTGATGAAAATCATTAACTAGTTTTGACATCTAATGCGTGTTACGTGCCACTTTGACATAAGTCGAGAAAAGAGAATGCCGAAACAATTAAACAAACATTACATCTTTGGCATACGACGCCTTGTAAAGTCTCAGAATCTAAAGAGCCGCCGGCCTCAGTATCCTATTTATACCCTTGCCCTTGGAGGCAGTTTAGATTTGCTTCGGCTGAACTAATTTATATGTATAATTTGATCAAAAATATCTCAATTAAAACAGAGCCTATATTTGTAAAATAATTCAATTTCTAGGATCACACTTGTACCGAAACGCAAATTTGAAATTAGATTTGAATATATCATATGAACAAAACATAAGGAGAATTACAATGAGATTCTAAAAAAAAATTAATTACAAAACAAGTTGTTATTTTCTACTCTGAAATCATTACATACTCCTCCGGTCCTAATTATAAAACCCAATTGACTTATTTGAGGAGATTAAGGAAGTGAGTTAAGTTGGTTATTTATAATAAATAAGTGTTATCATTCCTAAAATATCCTTGCTAATTAAGTATATTGGCTAAAACTATCATTATTAGAAGGATTATCTTGGAAAAAAAATACATAAATATAAGAGACAAAATGGATTGGGGTCTTATAATTAGAACCAAATAAAAAGTCAAATGGGGTCTTATAATAAGGACCGGAGGAGTACTATTTAAGTTATTATTAAAAAATTTTAATAATTATTTTTCTTTCTTAGGATCTTATTATAATTCTCGATCTCAAAATTATGTTGTTTTAAAAGTATGTGGTGTGTCATCATCTGCAATGACTAATAAGGATGCTTGCTGGTTGATTGGAAAACCTCATTCGTGCTCTTGCCAGATTAATCACATTATAAAGCAGATGCAGCCCCCTTGCTTTGACCCCAAAATAAAAAATAAAAACATCACCACCCCCATTGCTCCCTGCTATGGATTTGTTTAAAATGACTTATAAATAACTTTTTAAACGTGACTTACAGAATATAAAGTAAGTATATAAGAAAAGTTTTGTCTCGACTTGTGTGAAAATACTTATAAGTATTTTGCAACTTTGATTCAAACAAGCCCTATCTAATCTGACATTTCATATTATTCTAATAGGAGGAACTACTACCTCTGATCCTTAATATAAAAGCTAATTTAATATTCAATTTGATTATAAATATAAGACCTTAATCTATTTTGTATTTCATATTTATCTATTTTTTTTAAAATAATTTTTGTCAAAATTACACCTGTTAAATATTTCATCAAATAATAATTCTAACTAATATGTATTATATTAGTAAGGGTATTCTAAGAAAGACAGTGTCTGATTATTACAAATAACTAACTTAATTTTTTTTAATCTCCTCAAATTAGTCAACTAGTTATTATGTTAAAGACCAGAAATAATAATTTAAAGATTTATCTTCATCTTAAATATAAAATCTCAATTTTCATTATATTCCATATTTATTATTTTTTTTCTAAATTATTCTTATAATTCAAATATTTTACATTGGGCAAATTAGCACACTTTTTTCATAAATAACTTGTCTAATTTTTTAATGTATGTAAATAGGTTAATTAGCAGCAAAGAGCGTATTGCTTTTAAATCTAAGATATTAACATTTACTAGAAATTTAAATTGCTCAAATTTGATTGAACATTTTACAAATGCAGTGAGAAATAGGAAGAAAACAAACTTTTTAATAATAATTCACACATGTGAACCGGTTCAATCAGATGTTAATAGTTAAAACTCCAATTTTCTAGTGCTCCAATGAACATAATTATTTCCCACTTGCTTAACATGATTTTCTTTCTTCCGGCCGACACTGGAATTAACATAACTAAAGACAAAATCTTGCATGTAAGAGCTCAAAGTTTATGCATAAAAATCAATTGAGCAAAAGACTGAAGCCTTTGGATATGAGTAGATCACATTCAGTATCCAAATTCCTACCCACACTTTCATTCACAGATCAGTTACGCTCTAGTTTGGCACGTGTGATAACTTTCCCTGATAAATATGACTCTGCGAATGAAACTTTAAGTAAATGCTTGAAATTTTGAATATTGACTGAGGCCTTGCAATGCAGACTCCGTCAAAATCCAGAAGTCTCTGCCCTCATAACCTGGTAACGTATAAGCTCCCCTCGTAAATAGGAGGAGGTTGTGAGTTCAATTCCACTTGTAGTCTTAAGCCGTTAGTGCCTACCTCTCTAACTCAAAAGTCAAAACCAAAAGAGAAAGCCGGCTTATGGGTCAAATGTTGAAGCAGCACATTCCTGCCAATAGATTCTTGTCACAAAATTTTGTGAGATTTTTCCAATTTAAATTCAGAACTTCTCAGAATATCCTCGTGCGAGATTCCTTCCAGATTCTACAAGCACATATCAAGAAGGCAAACCAGACAAATTAGACTTCCTATACAGTTCCTCATCTATTATCACCGTTGGTACATTCCACTGGCCATGAGCGCTACCAGATATCATTCCACCTTAAAAGTTCAGTTGCCAATAAATCAAACCATGGAAGCCTATCGGAGAAGGTCCAATTACAGAAAAGCCTCTGATAAGTAGCAACTTACCTTTCTTAGTAGCTTCTTCACATCTTTTTTGATAGCTCAATGATAGCTGTGGATCCAGCGACTTCAGTAAACTGTCATACTGATGCACTTGGCCTACGATTCATAATTAGACAAAACAGATATCTTAATGGTCACAAAAAACATGGTCCGTTTTCAGAAGACCATAGCCTAAAAGTTTTTCTAGTGAATAGGAATCAAACCGTCGAGCTGGCCTATGGTGGCAGAAAAATGGTGCACTAATCCAAAAATTGAAAGTGGAAATTCATTACCCCAACTGTATAACGAATTTTTGTGATTCGATATTTCAGAAACTGTAACGGGACCGCCTAGCTAACAAATTTGTGTTATGTTGCGTCTTGCCAACCGTTTGCTTTCATTCATTCCTTTTCTTTCTTTCGTTGTTTTTTTTTTTTTTTGATAACCTTATTTGCTTCCGTATTCGTTCATTTTTTTTAACCAGATACTCTCGTTCATCCAACCCTTTTGTCTACAGTAACCATCCTATCGCACAAATCGAAAGATTACATACATGGGAGATGGGGACTGCAATAAATTAGGTCGAGGCAGGGAAAAGAGAACATTGGGGTGAGAGAGGCTCGAACTCTCGACCTCAGGATAACTCAGAAAGCTATGAGACCTACGCGCTAGCCAACTGCGCCACCACCCCAGATGTGATGAGGTGTGCAGTAAAATTTTCATCTACTAAATTTTCTTTTGGAGCCCTTGGATTCTAACCAAGCGCATGCGCTTTCTTCCTGTTTTACTCCTCCATATCTTATTATAAGATCTAATTTTTTTGAATAAATTTGTTTCTTTTTATAAAATTTTTTTTGAGTTTGTCTAAGTATTTAATGTATTATTACATATTTTACCTCTAATTTAATGCATTTAATGCATTCTCTTTCTTTATTTATCTCATTATTACTCTCTCACATTTACCCATTTATATACAGGGGCATATTTGGAAAAAATGTATTTGTTACATATTAATTATTTTTAACTAATTTTAACTGCTTTCTTAAATAACATAATTTAGGGTCTGTTTGGGTAGCACCCCAAACCATGGTTTGGGGACCCAAACCATGGTTTGGAGAAAATGCTACCCAAACAGCCTCCAATATTTTGAAACCATGGTTTCATCTGAAACCATGGTTTTAACCTCTAAAACCTTGGTTCTGTGGAAAGCAAAATTATCTTGCTTCTGGTGCTGAAGCTTTCGCTGTTGGGTTGTCAGAAATTATTTGGACAAAAAATGCCCCTTGACTCGCTTGCGTTGTTGGCGTGGAGAAATGGTTTACGGTCATTTGGTCCTGACGCAGCAAGAGAGTGAGCCTGAAAGAATCATAAAGCGGAAAAGATAATTACTATAATAAATAATAAATTGTTTTAATGTGTGCTTATTTATTTTGTCAAAAATATCATGATATTTCATATTTATAATCTTTAAAATAAAATAATATTTTTCTGTTGGTAAAAAATATTTATTTTTTCCAGAAACATTTTTAATCTTATATTTTATAAATATATATACACATGTTAATTATTTATTAATTATGTTGGTAAAAAAATATATTATTAACAATTTTGTTCCTTCAAATTAAAATATATTATAAAATCTATATTTTATGTAATTATCATATTAACTTATACCATTTTTAGTAATTTGCACATATAAAAAGTACTTCTGGTAATAACTATCCAAACACTCTTACTTCTCAGAATCACTTTTTCACAAAATCTATTCTTCACAAAATCTATTCTCCTCAGAATCTATTCTCCAGAAACTATTCTCCAAACCATGGTTTGGTTTTATCCAAACACTCCCTTAGTTAAAAGGATCTTCTAATAAGGGACCGGGGGAGTAGTTATTATTTTTCTTCAACTTAATGAATAATGATTGTTTTTCATAAAGTGATTACATTGAAATCTTTCAACATAAAAAATCAAATTAGAACAAAAATAAAGAGTTTATTATAGGTTTTGGGACATTCAATACTTTAGAAAATTGCATTAGGGTTGAGCCTTGTAGAGATTTTGGCACCACATGAACTAAAAAGTCATCAACAATGAAGAGCTGCTTTTATGAAGGCATTGAAATCATTAAAGGATGATCCTCCAATCTCAGTAGCTTCCAATGCCTTCTTCTTCCACTCCTCAACTTGCCTCTTTGCTTCCCTTCCCTTCACTCCGTCCATCATTTCCTTTACTAGCCCTGCAACTTCCCCCCGTTTCACATCTTCGTTCACCTAAACCATATATAAGCACCATAAATTCACCAATCATTTAACTGTAAAACATACAACTCAATATGCCTATGTCGAGTTTTGACTCATAAATATAAGGGGTGCTAATGAAGTCAATTAACTCATTTTGTATATTGAATGAATTATATAGAAGCAAATTGGATGGTTGAATCTAATTTTAAATACTATTTCAGTCCTCCTATTTCACATCTTCCTTCACTGAACCGTATATAAGCGCCACAAATTCACCAATCATTCAACTGTAAAACGTACAACTCAATATGCCTATGTCGAGTTTTAACTCACAATATAAGAGGTGCTAATGAAGTCAATTAACTCATTTTATATACTAAATGAATTATATAGAAGTAAATTGGATGGTTGAATCTAATTTTAAATAGTATTTTCGGTCCTCCCATTTCACATCTTCCTTCACCTGAACCATATATAAGCGTCACAAATTCACCAATCATTCAATTGTAAAACATACAACTCAATATGCCTATGTCGAATTTTGACTCACAATATAAAAGGTGCTAATGAAGTCAATTAACTCATTTTGTATACTGAATGAATTATAGAAGCAAATTGGATGGCTGAATCTAATTTTAAATACTATTTTCAGTCCTCCACTTTCGCATCTTCCTTCACTTGAACCATATGTAAGCACCACAAATTCACCAATCATTCAACTGTAAAACATACAACTCAATATGCCTAAGTCGAGTTTTGACTCACAATATTTAAGGGGTGCTAATGAAGTTAATTAACTCATTTTGTATACTAAATGAACTATATAGAAGCAAATTGGATGGTTGAATCTAATTTTGAATACTATTTTCAGTCCTTAACTTAGGAGTTGGATTTGGTCTTAAATATGATACTTCAATCCTCTGTGTTACAAAATTGTAATTCATTTTCTAAAGTAACCTTATTTACACATATTAAGGGTTTATATCCAAGGGTAGTAATAATTTAAAAAAATATTTTAAAAAAATCAACTTATATTTGTTATAAACACTTAACTCATCTCATTTTCTTAATCTTCTCAAATCAGTTAAGTAGTTTATATTAAAGATCAGAGGTATGTAAGATTTCAATCAATTTTGTCTCTCATATTTATTATTTTTTTCAAAATTAATTTACCTAATTGATATACTACCTCCGGTCCTTAATATAAGACCCTGTTTGACTTTTATTTTGGTCCTAGATATAAGACCCCAATCTCTTTGGCTCTTATATTTACTCGATTTTTTTCAAGATAGTCCTTCTAATAATTATAGTTTTAGTTAATACACTTGATTAGCAAAGATATTTTAGGAAAGACAACACCTATTTAGGACAAATAACTAACTCAACTTACTTCCTTAATCTCCTCAAATTAGTCAATTAGCTCTTATAATTAGGACCGGAGGTAGTATAATCTAATGTTATATATAGGTATATTAGGAAGCTCATCTCACATTTTCTATAATTAACTAATTTGTCTAACTTATATTACTAAGTTAAATTAGTTAATTAGTTTTTATATCAAGGACGAGAGAGTGTACATCTTAAATATATAACAAACATGCATCACATATATTCGAAAAAGCATGGCTGATCAAGCTACTGTTATACATGATCTTCTGGTTCTGTGATTCCTTTAGATGCACACAAAGGAGGCCTACTTTATATGCATATGGAGGACGAGAGGACACACAAAACCGTTTGATTTGGAGACAACATAAACCCCATTTATAATAGAAAGTTATCATTAATTACCTCCATTCCTATGTTCCAGTGTGTGCATGCATATCTGCAATTGGTCTGTTGCTCGGCGAAAAAAGGCCAGCAAATCATGGGAACACCTCCACATAGAGCTTCTGTCATGGAGTTCCATCCACAATGTGTCAAGAACAGTCCAACTGATGGATGAGAAAGCACTTTCTCCTGATGACACCAACTTGTGATGTAACCTCTTTCCTTAATCTCATCACAAAACTCCTTCGGCAAAATCGCTGATTCACCCATTACCACATCAGACCTTATTATCCACAAAAATGGAACCTTGCTGTTAGCTAAACCCCAAGCAAATTCCTTCAAGTGATTATCTGACATGACGGTCCAGTTCCCATAATTCACGTACAAAACCGAACCGGGCTCCCATTTCTGAAGCCAGTTCAGACATTCCGAGTCTTCCTTTCGCAGGTTTGGTCGTACGGATGTCAAGTGGTTGTCAGGAACATGCCTGAGCAAAAATGGAAGAGGACCTATGGCGTATATATTGGGAAGAAAGTTAGCTTTCATAGCTTCGAGGATTTGAGATTCTAAGTCGTGGAAGGTGTTGATGATGATTGCTGGTGATTTTAAGCAGTTTTTGGTTTCTGTTCTTAGGAAATCGAACATTGTCTCGTTAAGGTCGGTGGTTCTGATGAAGTTTGGCATGTCTTTGAGTCTAATGTTTGTCATCCCAGGAATCCAATCTATGAGCATGTCCAGTGCGCTTTCGGTGACGGATTCAGGATCTGCAACAATATGAGAAAACTTGGCAGATATATAGTTGTGAATTTTGGTCTTCATCAATGTTGCCAAATTTTTATTCTTCCAATATAAAAGGAAAAATCATCCTAATAATGATTCACTCATTTAAGGCATAATCCTTGCTATTCACTCTACGCAGGCATAATTTAAAATTTTTGCTTCAAAAAAATTATAAAATTTCGGCATATAAAGATCAAATTGGAAATTAAATAAAATTATAAATGACCATGGCTATATATTTTTCACAAATTGAAAAAAGAAACAAAATAACAACTAATTATCAACATATATACTAGCTCTAGTACTAAATATATATAAGAACTAGTTACGGGTTAAATTTTATCTTAAATATAAAATTTTAATTTATTGTCTCCCTAATTTATAATATTTTCTTCAAATATCACTATTAATTATAAGTGATTTTCATTAAGAAGTAAGTGATTTTCATCAAGAAGTACTTTTAATATATATAGTTAAATAGAATAATTTATAAAAATACAAATAAGTAAGTAATTTAATTTATTTTTTTATTTTTTAAAATTAATTTACAGCTATTTTTTTTTTTTATATTAATAACTCATTTGTGAAGAACCAACCATCGATAATCTATACTCCATTAATAGACAGGGACGTGTTCTGAGTTTTGAAGAGGAAAGTACCTTTGAAAGGAATGATTCCTCTGCAAATAAGAGCATCGAATTGCAGGTAGGCCATGAAGCCACAAGCAGAGGCAGTCCAGAACTGAACTTCAGGTATCCCCAATTCCTCCGCGACTCCTATCGCAAAGCTCATAACCCCATCTGCTATGATGCACCTCACCGCACCGAATCCTTCTTCGTCCTCCGCTGACGACTGCATCCTCTTGATCAGCTCCTTAAACGGCTCCGAGCAGTTCTTCCTCAACGCGTCACACAACTCCGACACGTCCGGGTTGGCGTCCCGACCCGACTGATGCAGCCCGTCAGGTATCGTCTCCACCCGAAAACCCGCCAATCCCTCGGCGAAGTCGGGTCCTAAGGATCGGACAAGGCGCGCGTGATACGACGCCGTGTCGACCATAGTTACGTTGAAACCCTTCCAATGAAGGAGCTTGACGAGTTGCATAAAAGGGCTCACATGGCCTTGTGCTGAGAACGGAACACAAACTGCATGCGGCTTCATCATTTTCTCGGCTCTGTTTTATGTTTTCATGGAAAGAAAGATGGAATGATGCTGATCTTATATGCTACAATATCTATTAGGACATATATATATATATATATATATATATATAATGATAGTAATATAAATGAAAAGATGAAAACAGTGGCCAAGGATGATTGGATGAACGTGCGTCAGCAGCATTGAAATTTTGGCGGTGCGCTTCATTAAAATATATATATAGGATGACTGGCACAAACATTATTGAGAAAATTGCAAGAGTTCTATATTAGAGAATTAAATATAAAAAAATCTTTTGAAGTTATCTAATTAATCTGAAATTCTAAGAAATCTTATTGTAAGAGATTTTATTTGTTTAATTATCAAATTGTTATTATTTTTTTTAAGCATGCATTGATATAGTCACTAATAACTTGACATATAATAACTAGCAACTATCATTACAGATATTGACAGCTAATGTATTAAATTTTTGTGATGTATTGAAAAAATATATTATTAATACCTACTACAATAGTTGTTAATCATTACACTTTAAATTGTTAACGACTGTTTTTTCAGTTGTTAATACAAAATTTAAAAATAAGGACAATTTGATAATTAAACAAATAAAATCTCTTATAATAAGGTCTATTGGGACTTCAGAATAATTAGATAATTTCAAAGAATTTGTTTGTATTTGATTCTCTTGGGTGTGACGTTGTTAGAATTTTCCCAGCATTATTTAAGATTATAGGCATGATTTCTTGACTTGTTTAAATTTTTTAGAAATAATTTTATCATATATGTGAAAGAAGTTTTGTCTCAATTTAGATAAAAATACTTTTCAAACACCCAGTAAAACTTGGAAATTTTTTACTTATAAATAAGTTTTTTTTTTTTACCAGCAAATAAGTTTTCTTATTATCACTAGATTCTAATAATGTCATTGATGAAAATCAGTTAACTATTTTTGACATCTGTGCATATTACGTGCCCCTTTGACAGAAGTTGAGAGATGAGAATGCCCAAACAAACACCACATCATTTGCATACGACGCCTTGTAAGGTCTGAGAATCCGAAGAGCCGCCGGCCTAGGACCCATTTGCCCTTGGTGGCAGTTTAGATTTACTTTGACTGAACTAATTTACGTATAACCTGATCAAAAATATCTCAATTAAAACAGAGCTTATATTTGTAAAATAATTCAGGAATAATACAAATTTTGATCCCTCAAGTTTATCTTCCTTTTGATTTCACTCTCTCAAATTTCAAATTATAAGTTTTAGTTCTTTAAATTTCTTTTTATTTATAATATTAGTCTTTATAATTTAATAAAAGCTTAGAATATTTTGTTTTTTTTAGGAACCAAAACTTATAGTTTAAAATTTAAAAGACCAAAATCAAAATGAAAACAAACTTGAAAGACAAAAGATTATATTAACCTAATAATTCAATTTCTAGAATCAGTGGATACTCGTATCGAAACACAAATTTGAAAATAGATTTGAATATATTTTCTGGAAAAAATATATTGTTCTAAAAGTGGTTATGTAGGGTGTGATAGTCTGCAATGACTAATGAGGATGCTTGTTGGTTAAATGGAAAACCTCACCCGTAGCCGGATTAATCATAGGGAAAATTTCAGAAAAGTCTTTGGAATATAGAAAATTTTAGATTGGGTCCTGGAATTTCGTAAATGATAGAAAGGGTCACTGATCCAATCTATCATTTGTGAAATTAAAATGAATTGACAATTTTGCCCCTGGTTAAGTAAAAGTGAGTAATTATTCTCTAAACAAATCTATGTAACGCTTATACTGTTCTAATGATTATATGATTAGTTGTAGTTAATAATAAGGTACCTAGCTATGAAAAAGTGAGTAGTTATTCTCTACACGAATTTAGGTAATGCTTACATTGTTCTAGTGATTACAAAATTAGTTGTAGTTAATAACAAAACACCTGACTATGAAAAAGTAAGTAGTTATTTGCTACATGAATTTAAGTAACGCCTAAACCCTTATAGTGATTTCTTAAATCATTATAGTGAATGAATAAAAATAAGGATAAAGTTGTCAGTTCTTCTTAATTTCACAAATGACAGATTGGGTTAGTGACCCTTTCTGTTATTTACGAAATTCCAAGACCCAATCTGGAATTTCCTATGTTTCAAGGACCTTTTTTGGATTTCTCTTAATCATATCACAAAGCAGATGCAAGCCCCCTTGCTTTGACCCCCCCCCAAAAAAAAAAAAAAACAGCCCCATTGCTGCCTACCATCTTATTTAACATTTCATCTCATTCTAATGAGTTAATATAATTTTTTATACTTCGAGTTTGTCCTCAATTTGATTTTGATCTTTCAAGTTTTTTTTTAAAACAAATTAGTTTCAATAATCTAATAAAAATTTAGACTAATAAAACCTATTGTTTAAAATTTGACAAAATCAAAATAAAAACAAATTTACAGACCAAAGATTATATTAACCCTATTCTAATACTCATTTAATTCTAAATATAAGACCCTTATATTAGTGTATAAATGTCTTATGTTTAGAACCGGAAGAGTAGTAAGAACTACTACCTTCATGCCTTAATATAAAAACTAATTTGACACTTAATTTAGTTTTAAATATAAAACTTTAATCAACTTTGTTTTTCATATTTATCTTTTTTTTTCAAAATAATCTTTGTAGTAATTACATATGTTAAATGTTCCATCAAATACTATTTTTAACTAATATACATTATTAACAAAGGTATTCTAAAAAAAAAACAATACCTAATTATTACAAATAACTAACTTAAAAAACCTTCTTAATCTATTCAAATTAGTTAATTAACTCTTATATTAAGAATTGAAAATAATAATTTAAAGATTTGTCTTCATCTTATTATATATAAACTCTCAATTTTCATTGTTTTCCGTATTTATTATTTTTTCCTCAATTATTCTTATAATTAAAATCTTGTATGATCTATAAACATTAAGCCATATTGATAATACTCTAATGTAAATTATTAAAAGGATGAGTACATTGGGCAAATTAGCACACTTTTTTTCATAAATATGAAATAGCTTGTCTAATTTTTTAATCTATGTAAATTGGTTAATTAGCGACAAAGAGCGTATTACTCTTAAATTTAAGATATTAACTTTAAAAGAAATTTAAATTGCTCAAATTTGATTGAACATTTTACCAATGCAGTGAGAAATAGGAAGAAAACAAACTTTGTAATAATAATTCACAGATGTGAACTGGTTAAATCAGATGTTGATAGTTAAAACTTCAATTTTCTAGCGCTCCAATGAACATAATTATTCCCCATATGATTAACATGATTTTTTCCTTTCGGCCGAAACTGGAATTAACATAACTAAAGACAAAATCTTGCATGCAGGAGCTCAAAGTTTATGAATAAAAATCAATTGAGCAATAGACTGAAGACTTTGGATATGAGCAGATCACATTCAATACCCAAATTCTTACCCACACTTTCATTCACAGAGCGTCGCATTTATCAGGTACGCTCTAATTTGGCATCTGTGATAACTGTCCCTGATAAATAAGACTCTGCGAATGAAACTTCAAGTAAATGCTTGAAATTTTGAATATTGACTGAGGCCTTGCAATGCAGACTCAGTCAGAATCCAGAAGTCTCTAGCCTTATAACCTAGTGGCATGTAAGCTCTTTTTGTAAATGAGAGGTTGCGGATTCAATCCTATTTGTAATCTCAGACTTTTAGTACCTACCCCTCTAGCTCAGAACCAAAAAAGAAAGCCGGCTGATGGTTCATATGTTGAAGTAGCACATTCCAGCGAATAGATTCTTGTCATAAAATTTTGTGAGATTTTTCCAGTTTACATTCAGAATTTCTCTGAATGTCCTAGTGTGAGATTTCTTTTAGATTCTACAAGTACATATCAAGAAGGCAAACCAGACAAATTAGACTTCCTATACAGTTCCTCATCTATTATCACCGTTGGTATATTCCACGTGCCATGAGCGTGACCAGATATCATTCCACCTTAAAAGTTCAGTTGCCAATAAATCAAATCGTGGAAGCCTATCGGAGAAGGTCTAATTACAGAAAAGCCTTTGATAAGTAGCAACTTACCTTCCTTCGTAGCTTCTTCACATCTTTTTTGATAGCTCAATGATAGCTGTGGATCCAGCGACTTCAGTAAACCATCATACTTATCTTCAGCCTCACTAATGCACTTAGCCTACAATTCACAATTAGACAAAACATATATCCTAGCTGTCACAAAAATATGGTACGTTTTCAGAAGACCATGGCCTATAAATTTTTCTAGTGAATAGGAGTCAAACCGTCAAGCTGGTCTATAGTGGCAGAAAAAGGGTGTACTAATCCAAAAATTGAAAGTGGAAATTGATTACCCCAACTGTATAACAAATTTCCGTGATTCAATATTTCAGAAACTGCATCGCCTAGTTAACAAATTTGTGTATGCATACTAAAGCAATTCATAAATTAGCAACCATGACGGTATTATGCTTCGCACACTCACCAGCATAGCTGAGGCAGTTGAAGCTCCATATATTCTGACAAACATGCGCAATACATTAAAGTTGTTCTCTAGAACATCATCCTGCACAACTTTCTTTTTGTCAGTTCAGACAGTAGGGTCGAATATGTGAGTGGTAGTCATGAAATCAAGATCAGTGAACTCGCCTCATAGTCATACCTGCACCATTGCCAGGTTAATTTTGTTAATTGAAACTGACAGTGCTAGCATAATTATGAAATATTGGTTGCTTTCTCAAGACATTTGATATTTGAAAAAAATTGGCTGAAAGCCCTTCACCCACTAGATTAGATTGTAGTGGCCATACAGTTTTTATATTTTAAACTCTTTCTTATTACTGTTAATTTGGTAGATGTTTTTGTATTCCTAAAATAATGAGGAAGAATGAAAGCTAAAAGCAACTAAATTGCAATATGACTTGCCACTAAAACAAAAAGGGAAAAAGAAAAAGCAATCAGTGCAGCACAAATTTCAAATCATAATGGTAAAGAGATTACAATGCCTACAACTTGAATTCCTCAGATTTTTTTCCCTAGGGT